AGGAGAATCTGCTATCTGCTTGACCGACCGGGAAGAATGTTTTTCAGCTGCAACCCACATGATCCATGACACAGATCACTTGCACAGCCAAAAGTTTACAAGCAGCCGTAGGCCACGTGACCAATTTAGTCCATTGCTTTCGGAGCCGGAGATTTTTTTTACCATAGGCGGTCAAGCTTCTACCCACGCTGTCTAAAACTCCATCTTGGGAGTTTTTGTGCATCATCTCCTCTCTCCCTTCCTAATTTTAAAGATCACTTTCAGGCCCATTTTGGAGTCCTGTAGCGTATTGGTTAGAGCACTCACCTTGCAAGCGAGAGGACCAGGTCAATTCCCGAGCGAAGGTGAAACCTTAGGCAAGTTTCTTTACTACACACGATTCTGTTTACCTAACAGTGAGCAGAAAAACCTGATTGTAAGTCGATTGGTGGATCACTTTCTGGGGGTAATAATCGGTCAAAAAAATATATATATATATATGATCATTCAATCCACAACTGTTTCTGGGATACTACTGTGTCCAATTGGCTGCCACATTTCGCCCAGAAATATACAGTCAATTCGCATCACAGTATTTTCTGTGAAGCGTTTTGAGATGTCTCAATGACTTGATAAAGCACTATATCAAATGTAAGTATAGTTAGTATTATCACCTTTTCAACCATGCTTTTAGTTGCCTTTCCATCCCCACCTCTGATTTGGGCTAACAGTCAGCTGTGTAAAGCACTTTTGTGACATCCTCTCAACTTGAAAAGCGTTATCTAAACATAAATTGCATTGTTTCTCCGCCATCATTCACTGACTCACAATGATCCACCACAAATCTTCCTTTTGGCTTTCATGCTTTAAAACAACTGCAGGTTTCTTGGGAATATCAAAGATTTTGTTGTGAAAGCATTTCCCTGCAGGTAACTTTCGTACGTTTTTCCCCCAGATGAAGGAATTTGTGTGTGTGAGCCTGACTCAGTGGTAGCACTCTCATCTTCGTGTCTGAAGATTGTGGGTTCAACCCCAAGTCGGGACTTGGAATCACATATTCTCTCGCCCGACACTGCAATGCAGCGCTGGGGGAATGTTGCATTGTCAGAGATGCAGTCCTTCTGATTATACATTAAACAGAGGTCCCACCTGCCTGTTTAGGTGGACGTTAAAGATCCATTTGCCCTATTCGAAAACAGAAGGGAGTTTCTCCTGGTTGCCTGGCCAACAATCCCACAAATAAAATTGGTCACTCACTCCATCACTGCTGTGTGTAAACTGGCTGCCACATTTCGCCCACAAAATACACATTCAATCCAATTTACAGTATATCCTGTGAAGCGCTTTGAGAAGTCTCAAATCTTATCAGGTCAAAACATCACACTGTGCTTAGCAGTAATCAAGAATAGTGATTGTTTTGTATGTAGAGAGACAGCCATTTGCCCCTTCTTCCAACACACAGAATCAATCAAAAAGAACACATGCACACACACAGAGTTATGTTTAGATAAGATTCAGTTGGACTACAATACACAGCCACTGCACTACAATTACAATAAAAAGTTCGAGACCTGCGGAAAAACCACTTTCCAAATTAAGATCCGAACTTAAAATGTTCCTAAATTCACAAGGTTTGATTTTTATGAGAAGAGCCTTAAGGTTAAACAATGAGAAATTTCAGGCCTTCATTGTATTTTTTTTAAAAATGGTATAACTTTGAGACATCAATGAATGAAACAGTAGAATTTATTTAGGGAGATTAATGATGGTTTTTTCCCTCCTTTTGTTTATGTGAGCACAGACATTTGCGGGTTCCTCTGTCCATTCACTTGTGGTTCTGAAAGACCCCTTTTCTTTGTTATCACTGCAGCACCACCTCTGCACAGGTACCACAGCTAATCTCACAACAACACATTTATAGAGCGCCTTTCACGCCGGGAGGACGTCCGAAAGCGTCGGCTCACATATAACAAGCAAATGCATTATTGTTTTTCCAGTACTCAGTCTATGCAAATGCTCTAATAATAGTATTTCAAATAATTCCTGCGCTTGATAAACTGCCTCATCACTTAGCTGAGATGTCTTAAAGTGTGTCACAGGATTTGTGCTGCTCCAAGATGCTACCCCACGTGAAGGCACTATATTAAATGCAAGTTGTTGTTGCTGTCAGATATAGCAATTGTGTATTTGGCAAGAAAAGTTCATTCGCTTATTGCTTTAGAAGAAATATGAGAGAGAACAATGTGCAGAGATCTGCATCTAGAACGAGGTTTACTGCAGCCACCAAGATATAGGTGGATAGCATCACCATTCCCAGCTTCCACAAATAACAACAACATTATATTTGCGTAGTACCTTTCATGTCGGGAGGACATCCCAAGGCACTGATAAGGTCCCAAGGTGGATAAGAGATCCACCCTCAAAAATCTTGTCCATCAGATTTGGCAGCAAAACAACTATGCATGTAAATGAAGAGCTGGAGCATAGCGTGTGCCTATCCAGCTTTATTCTGAGTAAATCAATATCTTGACCTTCAATAAAGTTTAATGGCTACTCTCATGTGAAAAAAAATTCCTGGCGTCTGTCCTAAAATTATACTTCACAACCACAAACTGTGGTCCTTCTTGTTTAGAATCTTATACACCCTTTATAGTTCTCTCTGAGACCCTCATTTTCAAGTTTAAGAGCACTGGATTATCCAGTCATTCCTCATAGCTCATCTCTCTAACACTGGGGATCATTTGGAAATGTAAAATATGCTTGAAATCTTCAATCACCGTGAAATGATCAAGTGAAGTGATGCAAGAATACAGCAATACCATCCGCTAAAGTGTTTCCATCATCTCTCCCCGAGAATGCAATTCACTCGCTTTCACAGCTTCTCAACTCCAAGTTACAATCCTTCAGACTATACTGCTATTTTCAGTCATCAACTGAACTGTAATATCCAGTAAAAAATATTCTCTGCACAGTACCTGTCACTGAGAAGGCACAGATTGCAAATACAAGAAAATAAAATGCATTTTGCTTTGGACAGAAGAAAGAATTTCAATATTCATATCCTGTTAAAATGGCTCAAAGCACTTTCTAGAATTTTTTGCTGTGTTTAGTGCGGGGAGGGGGAGAAAAAATACAGCATACAGTACTCATATTTGAGAATGGATGCTTTATAAACAGTACCGAATACTCATCATTACCTCAATGTAACAACAACGTGAATGCAACCACGTAGCAAACCTCCCAGATTTTTGCCCCCACCCTCTGGAACTCCATCCCGAAACCTCTCCGCTTTCCCCTCCCTTACCTCCTTCAAGACCTTCCTTTTCGACCATGCCTTCGGTCATCTTTCCTCTTCCACTCCCCTTGCCCTCCACTCCTCTTTGATCCAAACCCACAGCTCGGGTGCACACCCATCAAACTATCATCACTACACTTTATGATGACACTTTTGAGTCATTTTTCTGATGTGAAAAGGCACAACATCAAATGTATTATTGTTATTAATAACACTAAAAAATCCCTCCCACACACACGCTATCAAACCACCGTGCTTTGAACAATGGTAAGTGGGGTTAACAGGAGCTGTAATTCAATCATTGGATTTGGATTACAGTTACAAAATGTTAAAGCTTCATCCTCATTGTTTCAAATGTCATCTGAAGCCCTCAGTACACTGAAGACCCTGTAATTATTCTCAAATGTCTCTTCTCTATATAAATACAAAGAACATCCGAAAGTTAGCCCTCATCAGATGGTGAGCTACATTTTACGAGCTTAAGTTAATTGGCTTTTAGGTATAATAATAATAATAATAATCCTTGCATTTGATATAGCGCTTTTCACGTCAGGAGGACGTCCCAAAGCGCTTCACAGAACACACTGTAAAGTGAATTGACTGTATATTTGTGGGCAAACGCGGCAGCCAATTGCGCACAGCAATGACCCACAAACAGTCGTAGATTGAAAATGACCAATTTTATTATTGTTTTTGGTTTTTGGAGGGATTATTATTAGGCGTGTGGAGTAAGGAAACTTGCCCAAGGTTTCGCCCTCTGCCTGGAATTGAACTCAGGTCTCTCGCTTGCAAAGCGAGTGCTCTAACCACTGAGCCACAGGACTCCACAAATCCAAAGAAAAAAGAAATCCCATCCCCGACACCACATAATAATCACGCAAAACTTTGGTGTGTGTAAAATATAACTCCAGCAAGATAGTATTTGCTACCAGTTGGTTTTCTATTGATTGAAAGCTGCTGCCTGTTCAATTAACCCTGCAGTTAGGAAATAATCCAAGAAAAAACATCTTCCTGGGGAATAACCATGTACAAACTCAACAGAAACATTTTAAAAGGGAGAAATCAAAGCTTCTAATGGTGGCAGTGTCACTGATCCTCGTGAAACCCAATAACATCAAACCCCTCCTCTTTGGAGGTCAATTTATTCTGAAACAAGCCATTAACACTTTACCACACTTTGGACACTGGCATAATTTCAAAACTTAATGAGACACTAAACTGTTTCGGTGGAATAGAGAAGGGAGTTTCTTCTGTTGTCCTGGCCAACAATCCCCCAAATAAAATTGGTCACTGGTTTCATGACTAGTTGTGGGACATTGCTGCGTGCAATTGTGCTCCCATGTTTGCTTACAAATACAGTTACTTCATTTCACAGAAATTTATGTGAGGCGCTTTGAGACATTCTTCTGACGTGATAAGACACTATACCAAACGCAAGGTACAAACTCAACAGAAGTTTGGTGTTTATTATTATTGATATTATTTCATCACCTATACCTTGGTCTTTCCAGGTGAGATGTGTTCAGCTTGCATTGTTTTTCCAAAGGTCACCTTGCCCAGTGACGTATAATTTTTGAAGCAAACTAAAAATAAATAAAAGAACACTACAATGATGAAGATACAAACTATTTCAGGGAAATTTACTCTATGAAGTAAGCATCTACTCAGAAGTGCATTCCCTGATGACAGTTTGTTGCATGCATCTCTCCTGAAGGCAATGACTCACACTAGAGTATGGTTCTACAGGCACCATGTTGGCCAAGTGTCCATGCGACATGTCAAACCAAGACATGTGCGTGTTGGTAAACTCTGTGACCTGGGAACAGAAGGAGCTTATTCATCAAGTCTCTTCTGGCATATTATTGGATAATTAATCCCATGACTGTGTCTCTTCGCCAGATCCTTTTCATAACAACAACAACTTGGATTTATATAGTGCCCTCCACGCCAGACGGCGACTCAGAGCTCTTTACAGTAACGGATCCCGGGGCCGAGCCAGGGGAAAGGGGGAGGAAGGTGACCAAAGGTGCGGTCGAAAAGAAAGGTCTTCAGCAGAGACCTGTAAATAGGAAGGGAGGGAGCAAAGCAAAGGGAGTGAGGAAGGGAGTTCCAGAGCCTCGGGGCATAGTGGCTGAAGGCACGGCCGCCGAGAGCGGAGTGGAGGACTCGGGGGACGAGGAGGAGGCCAGACCTGGAGGAACGAGGGCAATGGGCACTGTTTTGAGGAGAGAGGTCAGAGAGGTAGGGGGGTGCAGAGAAGTGCAGGGACTTGAATACAAGGGTGAGGATTTTCCCAGGTCACTAGGAGAAATTCTCTTAACTTTTTTAATAACCATTTAATCTGAAGCCACTAGGCCCCGAGGCTCTGGAACTCCCTTCCTCACTCCCTTCGTCTCGCTCCCTCCCTTCCCATTTTCAGGTCTCTGCTGAAGACCGTTCTTTTCGACCGCGCCTTTGGTCACCTTCCTCCCCCTCCCCCTGGCTCGGCCCCGGGATCCGTTACTGTAAAGCACTCTGAGTCACCGTCCGGCGTGGAGAGTGCTAAATAAATCCAAGTTGTTGTTGTTGAAAATCCCCCAAATAAAGTCAGTCATTCACTTCCTGACTGTTTGTGGAATATTACTATGCGCAAAATGACTGTACATTACAGGACTTTTTTTAAAACTCTTTGGAACATTCTGATATGGAAGGTGCTACACCAAATGTAAGGATGATTATCATTATCCTACTTGTGGCAACTTGGTGAAATGGCTGCCATTTTTGCACACAAGAAGCCTCTAAATGTAACAGTAATTACTCATGCAGCATTTTGAGGCGCTATGAAAATACATCAGCTCTGGCTCAGTTGTTGCACTCTCTCCTGAGTCAGGAGGCTTGGGTTCAACTATTATAAAGATGCTGCTTCTTTCTTCTAGCACCAGCGCATGGCCTGCTTGTGTGCTGTTTACAAGCAGTAAGCAGCACTATAAATGTTTGCACAGCTAGTCACCTATTCAGAACGTCTAATGTCTTCAGGGAGATTATATTGATCTCAAAACCCTGTCTCCCAGTCTGACATCAGGAAAACCTTACACTCGCCACATTTTCACATAACCTGCAGAAATAATACTAATATGAATAATAATAATACTACTAATAATGATGATACTCCCTGCGTTTGAGATACCGCCTTTCATGTGTGACTGAGTGGTACACATTCCAAAGGAGTTCCTCTAACTTGCTCGGTGCACTGCACAGCGTCGAGAATAAAGGCAGAGCAGGACACCACACAGTGTCATTGTGTTGCTCTCCAGCACTGGCTATTTTGCTCAAGCAATGAGAGTAAACTCAGCGGTGTGCGTGATGCAACGAAGGACTGGTGGCAACAGAAACGAGAGCAGTCACTTTCACTTTACTTTCTCAGATCTAGGATCACCACTCAATAGACAGCTGAGCGGCGCTATAAAGTGGCTGCAGAAATTACAAGGACACATAATGATCAAAGACGCATTAAACACTTCTGAGCGTATGCCAAACATGTACAGTGACTCAAGCCGATTTTACACTGGCGTGTAGCTGCACTACAAGTAATGCTCAAGTGGTGGTGTTGAGATTTAAGTACGGCTTGTAGTGCAGGCCAGCCTTTCTATTCAAAAACTACAGCCAAAGCACAAGCATTTGTTCTACACCCGCCACCTAAGGGAGCAGAAGCCAGGAACGATGAAGCAATTTTGCTCCTGGCCTATATGCCCAGGTTTTACAATTATTATTTACTATTATGGATGCTCTTAAGCACGGTGATGGGCCTCTGCACGTGTCAGACACCCAGCTGACTGAAAAAAAAGTTCTTTACACCTTGAGGAAATGCTACAAAAGGTTCAGACTTGCTCAGAACACTTCCTACAAATACATTCACTAAACTTCACCGCATTCGTGTTCTGAGACATTTTGACGTTATTAGCACTGCATCAGATACAAGATTTATTATAAGAATAACAGACAATGTGACTGTGGCATACACGTGATGTCACCATTTCCAGCCAATGGCTGTTTAGTCATTGGGAGATTTAAAAGAGTTGAGCTGAGGACACCACAAAGTAGAGCCCTACTTTTCCCATTACAGATCGGCCGTGATTTATTCAAATAACACAATCACAAGCAGACATTGTCATCATAAATCACAAAAAAAACACTACCCTTTCTTTCCCCATTCCCTAAGGTGCATTTCAAGGTACCAAACTCAGCGCAAAGAGATTTTGAGTACCCAGTTAATTTGAACCACGCACTGGTTTCCCCTCGCTGCAGGGCTCATCAATAGCAGCACAATATCTGCTCTAAATGGCTGAAATGTTCGTTCCGTCTGCAGCTGCTGAAGAAACTGTGAGAATTGGTCACTGCATCTATCCGGGGTCCAAAACTGCCAACTGTCTTTGTAAACCAGTCTGAGTCACTATTTTCATTTTGAACTTGGTGCATGGACGCATGCATTACTTAATACAGTGAAGCACCGTTATAATGCAGTTGTTGGGATACACAATACAGAGAGAGAGAGAGACACAGAAAGTGAGAGAGGATATCGTTTGTGACTGACTAGCTCCGTCTTGGTCATGGGGGCAGGGCTGAAACTGGCCTGGAGGGGCTCGTGGATGGAGAGATGTGAGCGAAGTTGGTTGGCAACAATATGTTCCAGAACTTTAAAAAATGATGGACAAGTTTGAGATGAGCCAGTAGTCTGCAAAGTCAGAGCAATGAAGGGTGGATTTTTTGAGGAGGGGATTGATGATAGCAGTTTTGAGGGCATGTGGGAATGGAGCCTGAGTAGAGGATCTGGTTGGCTGCGTCAGCCAGCAGAGCAGAGGAGGGGGAGTTGGGTGACCAACAGCTGGGTGGGGAGGGAGTTGAGCAGCAAGTGGTGGGCTTCGTGTAGATGATGATGGTTGAAAGGGAGAAATGGGCTCCAAGGAGTGTAGGGTGGTGGAAAGAATCAGTGATGTAGGGAGAGTTTGGGATCAGCTCTTTCACAACACCCTTCAACCTGGTTCCTTAATGAAGGAGCATCATGGGGACAGTAATACTCTGATGTTCAGCTAAATCTGATCAAATACTACCATCAAATCATGCTACCATGTTGAGATATGATGGGCTTATTTTACTGAAGCAAAGGGATACTGTATATAACCAATCAACATTAACATTCATTTTGTAGCCTTTGATAAACAAATTAAACTCAGATCTGAAAATTCTCAGTTGAAAGAATAATGCTACCTACTGAGCCACTCCTTAATGACACTGCATAGCTGTCCAAATATTTGCTTCTACACTATCCTGACCTTTAGCCTCATACGGTAGTTAAAGTAAAGAAAGCATCCATGGGTAAACTGAATGTTAGCCCTGTATAAAATGTAACCTTATCTTTCAGAATGCCCAAACGAGATTTAATGCCAACATCTCATCCGAAGGATGGCACCTCAGACAATGTAGCCCATCCATAGTACTGCATTGGAGTGTCGCAATAGATTATGTAGGTTGAAACCACAATCTTCTGAGTAGGAGGTGAGCCTGCTTCCAACTAAGACAGGATGAATTGGATTAATATCTGAAAAAGACAAATATAAATTGTATGGGGAAAAAGGCAGACGACTGTGCTGTCTGTCTTTGAAAGAGTGATCCATTTAGTCGCAGACAGGATTGGCCGTACGGACTCCAGCGCCGTAAATTTCTATGGTTTTAACTGGCCACAACACAACCTTTGCTAAAATGAGAAAAATCAGCCAGCTCCCAATCTGATCAATATCCAATGACCTACTGGTGGAACGTATATCCAGAAGAACTTGGCCAGGTGAGAACTGGATCAGGCTCTGCTCTTGATAATTCACAATGAAGCCTCACACATGAAGAGCTACCACCTTTTTTTTGGTCATCTGGGTGTTCAGACCAGAAAATCGCACCCAACCCCCCACCCCTTCCCATGCTAAGTTTACTTGTCTCAGCCATATTTGGCTTCAATTCCGTGCTCCAGAAGCATTTAAAACCACCAGCAACAACTTGCATTTATACCGCGCCCTTCACACGTAAGATAAATTTCTCAGAGCAGGGACAAGGGGATTTGGAGGTAACCGTAGGTGCAGTCGAAGAGTTACATTTAAAGGTGGAATTTAAAGATAGACAAAGAGGGGGCAAGGCAGAGAGTTCCAGAGGTTAAGGGTATAATTTGCACTCCATTTGCAACCTCTGCTTCCTCCTGTTGGTTTGTTACAAGCACAAAAGTCCAGTCAGCATCAATATTACAAAGGCATTCTTGAGAAACATTCTTTATGAAACACCAATTGGTTAAATTAGGTCTTAACCTTATTGAAAAGATCATTCGATTTTTGTTTTGATTAAAACAAATTCAAAGCTTTCTCTCATCCTTATTAAATCACATTCTTTAACAGTTTTGTCTGTGGCACCAGCAGAGCCATAGAAAACATTACACTCACCGCTGACAGCAACTCGTACTTTTATGCCAACCTGGATTTCAAATACTGTTGGGCGCGAG